TATATATTGTTTTGCCTGATGGAAGCCTATCATTGTACCACAGAGTAAACATCCCTAAGCAATGTATTAATAATAATTCTCTTCTGATATGTTGATGACACTCCTGTCCCACTGTAAGGTATGCCACAGGTCTGTGCTGTGCTAACTTAGCAACTTATTTTCTCTAAATACAAGGAATCAGCAGCATGGATATAGGTTCAGGCATTCCTAGGTTCAAATGCTGACTTTTCCACCAACTGGATGGGAAGCACCAAATAAGATTCCTTATTAATCACCAATAGCATTAAGTGGAAAGAATTAAACACCACTTGTAAAGCCCTTAATATGCTGTCTGCTGCATAAGAGGCATTTGATAATGATAGAGCAGCATGAGGATAAAAATGGTGGTGGTGGTGATAGTGAAAGGTGGCCTTAAATGACAGTTTTGAAAGTGGTACAATTAACCAGAGAACTCATATCAAACCAATTTCATGAATATGTTAACAATTTACTCTAAGCAATAAAACTAACCTGTAGACCAACTGAGCCCATTAGTTAAACTCTACCCAGTTTAACTGGTACATGTACCAGTTTACTGGTAATATAAATTTCAAGAATTTTCCTCTGGCCCAGTTAATAAAACCTTCCTCATTCTTAAAGGTAGCCAGTATGTGTAAAGCCTGATGTGTCCCTTGAATGTAGCAGTTTTACTTACAAAGTATGAAGGTGTGTTCCTTCCTGCCCTGTTCCACAGGAAAAGATCTAAGTAGTCAGGCAGTAGTGTACTGAGAGATAGTCAGCATATATAAACACTCATGACTCAGGTTGCTTGCATTCGCTTTTTTAGGAAAATCTTGATGGAGATTTCTGTGGCCTCCAGAGAACAAAACTTCCCAGGGGATTATTGTACCTCATGCCTCCTATTCTCTTCTACTTCATGACACTCACTTTTGTAGTTTCCATCCAGTGACTGGTGTTACATTTCTTTGATCTTATGCCTTCATAAAATGTTGCTGAAAGTGAATTTTTGAATTGAAAACAAAGCATCTGCTCTATCCATGACCTTTCATTCCCATACCATCTCCACACTCAGCCAAAAAATGTATTTTCCTCCAACATCACTTGAGTTAATTTTGTCCATTTATTTTTTCAGAAATATTTCTGATATTGTCAGAATAACAGCCATTTATTTTTTCATCAAAAACTAAATATCTATCACATTCCAGGTTTCATACTGGTAAAACAGAAAATATAATGGAGTCCTTTTCCTCCAAGGCTCACAACCTAGTTAGAGGAAACAGACAAACCTCGGGGATTACAACAGGTTATATTTATGTTGAGAACATGGGAAAGCATGTATTTAACATGCAGGAATACCAACATCAGATCCGTATGGGAAACCAGAGAGCACAGAGCAAAGACAAAATAAGAAGTGATGAATAAAATATTCAAGGACCTCTGGTAGTGCAGTGGATAAGGCATTTGCTAAACAAAAGGTTGGCAGTTCAAACCCACCTGTTGCTCCATGGGAGGAAGATGGGATAATCTACTTCCATAAAGATTTACAGCCTCAGAAACCCAGTAGAGTTTGCTATGAGTCAGAATTGACTCGATGACAATGGATTTGTTTTTTTGTTTTAGAATAACATATTCGTCACACCTACAATTCTGATTACACTTTGGAAAGTAACTGGCAAAAGAAAAAGTTAAAAAGAGATTCAGGATCCATGTCAGGAAAGATTGTTTAGACCTGCTAAAGTATTTGAAAGAATTCCTGGTGGTACAACGGTTAAGCACTCAGCTGCAAACCATAAGGTTGGTGGTTCAAACTCACCGCCCTCGCCACAGGAGAAAAGACCTGGAAATCTACTCTCATAAAGATCTACAGCCTAGGAAAGCCTATGGGGCAGTTCTACTCTGTCGTAGGGTCACTATGAGTCAGAATTAACTGTATCACACACATTAATAACCATAAGGCATTTACATCTAAATAACAAAATAACATTTCCTCAGTATAAAATTTAATCTTTCTCCTGTCCTGGAAAAACATCTTCTACCCTAGAGTTCCTTACAAATCAAATAAGGAAGCTGAATACCTTATTTGAGGCTCCATGCTGTATTAGATTCCCTGCTTGGATATCAGTAACAATCCAAATGGTAAGAATATCAAATTTTTATTTTAAGCCACGGTGTATCAATTACAAAGAATGATCAATTCAGGAAATGTTCTTAAGCAGAACTTTAATGAGTTTATACATCTTTGGCAGACTATCCCATTGTTTACCCTTGCAAATTCTACTTCAGGTTAAAGTGATTATTATTCAGCATTGGCTCAGATAGTTTGAACAAGCACTGTTTCAGAAAGTCTATAAATAGAAGCAAATACTGTGAAAATGTATGGACTTCCATATCAGATAATGAATCTAGAATATTACACAGTTGGTAAGAAAAATGTAGAGTATGACCTGTGATGGTAAAAATACCCAATGCTGTAATACTAAAAAAAAAAAAAAAAAAAGTTTAATTTTTCTATAAATAGTATTACTTTATAAACAGGATAAAAGAATATACTTTAAAATGGACTTTAACATACATATGCTACAGCATGCTATATTATTTGTAATTGCCTCATGACTCACTTTTATTATTGCAGAATCAGTCAAAGAACATTCTCCAATATATTTATTTAAAAAAAATTAAAAAAAGCACAAGCATGTTCGCCCAATCTTCAAAATTCTTTTTCAAAGCTTTCCCTGAGAGCCCACAAGATTTGAGTCACTTGTGTTTATGCCTTGATTGCTTAGATTTGAATATGCATTATGTGTCTTTTGTTAAACAATGAACTTCTCAGAACTATGAAAATATTTTTCAAGCTAAGAGTTTCCTGGGTAAATTATTTTCCTACTAGTTCAGATCCTCCTCTTAGCACCTGATAAGTAATATGTTTTATTCACCATAAATGCTTTATAAGGAAGAAGTAATTAAAATATTGCTTCAATCTTAAGATATATTTTGTCAGATTGTAAACATCCTAAGAATGGAGGCTTTGTCTTTGTTGTTCACTGTTTTAAGCTGTGGGCCTAATAAAGTACTTGGCAAACTAAAGATGCTTAAAATATGTAAGAGGAATATATGCAAAGTTATGATCAAATAGAAGTAACTCAATAAGCATACATTAAGTATCTGTTATTAATAAGTCACTATGCTTGAGTCTGTGAAAGATATAACAATCCTCAAAGTACAACTTTTCAAAAAGTGTCAAGTCAGTAGGGAAAGAGAGATATGTACCTCTAATACGAGACTAATACAATTCTGTAAGGTCTCTCTGAGACAGAAAAAATGAATAGGTGTCTACTTGGGGATACCAGGAAAGATTTCATAGAAAAGATTATTTTATTAACAGCACCTGGAAGTATTTTAAAAAGCAACAAGAAGAAAAAAGAAGGGTAAATATTTGAGTCAGAGAGAGCTAAATAATCAAACACTCAGAAAAGAGGTATTCATGGTGTTCCCAGAAGTGGTTATTAGCTGAGATTCCAGAAGAGTATTACTTTAGCATACATGATAACCTATGGGTAGCTTGTTAAAATGTAGGTTATTGGGCTCTATCTCAAGAGTTTCTGATCAAGTAGTTCTGGGTGGAGTTGAAGAATCTGCATTGTAAGCAAGAACCTCGAGTGGTCCTAATGCCTTGGTGTTGGAAACATATCCAGTGGGCACCCAGAGAGACTGTGAAGACTCATAGGAATGAAAACCCTGTGGAAGATGAAGAAGAAGAACAACAACAACAAAGTGTATTGGAGAGGAACTTGAAACGGAAATTTAATGTTTCATGATTTGAAAAGTCAAAAAAAAAAAACCTCATTATTAAATATTTAGGAGCTCTGGTAGCATAGTGCCTAAGGCACTTGACTGCTAACCAGAAGGCTGGTGGTTCAAACCCACCAGCCACTCCTCAGAAAAAAGTTTGGGCAATCTACTTCCATAGTGGTACTGCCTTGGCAATCCAAGGAGGGGTCGCTATGAGTTGGGGCCAACTCAACGGCACATAACAACAACATTAAATATTTACAAAATGCAAGGAAGTGTAGAGAAAATATAAACAAACTAATATACAACTATGAAGAGATAGGAACTTTCAACATTTTGGAATATGTCTATCTAAATTTTTTAATGTGTATGTGTATACATGTGCATATCTTTATGTATGTGTATTCACATGAAACATACACACAAATTCTGTGAAAACTACCCCATTTATTAATCTACCTTATCATAAAGCAACATGTCATTCAGATCTATAGCAATATTTAGCTTGCTGTATAATCTTTCATACTTTATTTAACCAATTCCTTAAAGTAATATTTTAAGGTACACATACTTAGGAGATGAATCACTGGGACTATACAATTACCAAAGTGACATGAATGAATCTTTTAACAATTAGGTGAGTATTCTTTTCATTCACATTTCTTCTTATCCATATTCTTTACTTATGTATCTATTGTGTAGAATAATAAATTATTACTAAACTGTAAGAATTCCTGAAATCCAGACTTTTCCTACTGCTTATATTAGATCAGACTTCCATTTTATAACTACATAGCCTAGAGATGGTGAGACTGTCTAGACCCAACATCTGACCTCATTTGTACATGCTGATACATTTTGTCCATATATTAACCACGGTCCTACTGTATGCCAAGTGCAATACTGGTAACAAGGTAACAGATGCATAAGTCATGGTTCCTGTGCTCAAAAGTCCACAGTCTAGAACTGTGTAAAAAGTAAGTAAATGGATCACTGGAATAGAGTGCTAGCATGGATCAATAAGGTCTTCCAACGTACAGTGGTAACTCAAACTAGTTAAGGATCATGAGTGATTCAGCAAAGACTTTTGTAGAGAAGAGGTACCCTGAAACTTTCCTAAATTCTCTTAGAAAGGAATATTTTGAGCATAGCCTTGCGTATTTGCTTGGTCTTCACACTGTAGATTATGGGATTCATTACAGGAGGGATGAGTAGATAGACATTGGCAGTGAGTGTGTGCACATAAGGAGAAGAATGCTTCCCAAATCTATGCACCAGGGACAAGCTGATCATAGGGATGTAGAAGATGGCAACAGCACTTATGTGTGAGATACAGGTACCGAAGGCCTTTTTCTGTTCCTCTCGGGAAGCAATGCTGAGCACGGAGCGGATGATCAGAACATAGGAGAGGAGGATCAAGATAGAGTCTATGCCAGCAGTAGAGATGACAATGGCCAGCCCAAATGCACTGTTGATCTTGGTGTCTGTGCATGAAAGCTTCATCACATCAGGATGGAAGCAATAGGAGTGGTGGAGCACATGACTTTGACAGAAAGACAGACGTTTAAGGAGCAGAAGTAAAGGCACCAGAGCTGTTGTTCCTCTAATAACAATTGCAAAGCCTGACTTAATAATCCGTGAGTTGGTTAAGATTGTGGCATATCTCAATGGATTACAGATGGCAATGAAACGGTCAAAGGCCATTGCCAGGAGCACTGAAGATTCCATGAATGTGAAGCCATGGATGAAGAACATTTGGACAATGCAGGCATCAAAGCTGATTTCTCTAGCATTGAACCAGAAAATACCTAGCATAGTGACCAGTGTGGATAGGCACAAACCTAGGTCAGTGAAGGACAGCATGGAAAGGAAATAGTACATGGGTTCATGGAGAGTAGACTCAGTGATAATGACAAAGAGGATCATGCCATTCCCAGAGAGGGCAATGGCATAGAGACAGCAGAATGGGATGGAGATCCAGGCATGAGAAATTTCAAGGCCAGGGATGCCAGTAAGGAAGAACACTGCAGGGTGGAAAATGCTCTGATTGAAGGAATGCATCATGAGTAAAGGAAACAGATTTCCCTGAGGATAAAGAACATGTTCTGTAACAATAGGGGGATTTTTTCTTTTTAACTCTCTTTTACTAATCAATAGGATCACTAGCAGACCTTGCCTTATTCTTCATTGAAAACGCAAGTCAATTATTTATTTACTTGCTTACTTACTTATTTGTTTTTAAGATCTGGAACTGATCTTGGATGAACTAAGGGAAGAGAACTAAATTGTATGAGTAAATCTGGGTTCTTCCAAGAGTTTCACTGTTATAAATATAAATACTCAGTATATATACTTACATATATATTTAAAAGACGGGTTAGATTAGCATGATATTTTTCAACTCAGTGACCCCATTTACACAGGCAGATGGGATATATATCTGGCAACAAAGCAAATTCAAAAATCAATTCACCCTGCTTTTCTTTACTTATCACTTCTCCGAAAATGCTGAAGTCCATTAAGATTTATAGATCCTTGTAGACCAAATGAAAATAAAGATGTTAAATATTTTCCTAGTAAAATCTTTTTAATTGAATATAACAGCTGTTGAGAAAAACTTAATAACAGGAAAAAAACACAATTAAATCTCAGCAAATAGATCATAACAGGTAAAAGTAGGCAAAGAGTTTGTTTATACAAGTAGTATCTGAGAACCTGAGTATGTTTAAGGGAAATATTGCCCAGAGAAAGATGGCCTGGAGATTAACCTCAGCTGGAACAAAGGAACCTATTGAAGGCTGGTATATTGCAATTGGAACAGAATAACAGGAGCAAGTTTCTTGGCCTTTTTTTCCACCCCCTTCGGTAAAAGGGCATTGAAAGTGAGTTTCTAGAGAATTAGTCTCTCAGAAACACTCATTACAACTGGTTTCAGTTCCACTCAGATGGCTGATGATGACTGTGATCTCCTCTGTTTGGGGATATGAGCATGTACTTGCTCAGACCAATAAATCTATAGAATCTAAGAAGTTCTTCTGTGTTGGTTCTTGACCTAAGACTTCGGCCACCATAATTTCATCTAGAGAAAGAATGTTAGATGTTTAGTGTATTTGTTCCCCATCCATTTATTTACATGTGCATTCATTCAACACATATTTAAATATCTACAAAATGCCAGCATGTGCAATGGACAGAATTGAAATTAGAGCTGGTTCCCCAAGTAAGTTCTGTACACGAATCTAGGAAATAAAATAGTTGAGGGTAAGTCAACTTCAGCCCCTGGATGAGCAGGCTGGATCCTAGACTTGAGAGAGAATAATTACTTACTAAAAGTTAAGATCAAAAGGACGTTTCTGTAGATATCTGAAGAGAGGAAAAGAGAAAAATATTCAATGCAAGAAGCATCTTTGAGGACTCATTAAAATCTTACAGACTAGAAAATTTGAATTGAGAGGCAATGCAGAACACAACAAAAGCCCTGCACTTTGGAGTCAGCCCTTGAACCTCAGTTGAAAGACAAGCCTCACTTTCACCTGTGACTTCAAGCGCAAAATTGAAACACAGACTTACTTACCTATCTCTGCACCCACAGGGGTTTCAGTGACTCTTAGCTTGCTAATAAAACCTGAGAATTATCAAACCAATAGCTGTGGTTGAAGTTACAAGAATGGTTGGAAATATCTAGGAGTAATAAATCTAGGGGGAAAGAGTCCTGAGGACAGAGCCCAAGGAAACAGCAGTATTTAAGGAAAAAGTACAAGATGTACTTTCTAATGAGGCATGAGAGGCACGGCCACTGGGGAAAATGACCACTAGGGCCTCATCTTTTTTTTTTCCCCAAACTTTTGTTAACAGAACCAGTAATAATGCCTGGCACAGTTACATCTAAAAAATTTGTGGAATAAATCACTGTATTGGTTCTGAAAATAATTAGATGTCTTAGGTTCTTAATAATTTTGATGTATGGTTCTATCAGTTCAGAAGTCAAATTCATGTAGTCTCATTAGCATATTTTAAAATAGGAGGGAAAATAATAGTTTTCTTATTAATCAGATGTCCTTGAGACTAGAACTTTGTTCCAATTAAGACCTGTGATAATATTTTTTTTTTTCCAAATGAAGTAGAGAACTAGTAAAAAAAGAAAGAAAGAAAAAACAAACTCACTGCTGTCTGCTGTGGAGTCGATTCCAACTCATAGGGAGCCCTCCTTGGGTTTTGCAGGCCAAATCTCTATGGAAGTAGATTGCCCAGTGTTCCTTCCCAGGAGTGGCTGGTGGGTTTGAACTGCCAGCCTTCTGGTTAGCAGTCAAATGCCTTAGGCACTACACCACCAGAGAACTAGTAATAACCTCAAAATCACACCTTCTTTAATTTAAAGATGAGGAAGCAGGCTCTCAGTGTGATGCTCATTTTGTTATAGTTTCTAAATGGGACCCTAGAGGATTATCTGTTTGTTCACACTAGACTTTCTCCCTAATAACAATAATGATACCATATTAAATACCTCCTGTGTGCCAGATAAGAGACGTGGTGGTGCAGTGGTTAAAGCACTGGGCTGGTAACCAAGACACAGTGGTTTTAACCCACTAGCTGCTCCATGGGAGAAAGATGTGGCAATCTGCTGCTGTAAAGATTTACAGCCTTGGAAACCCTCTGGGGCAGCTGTATTCTGTCCTGTAGCTTCATTATATTTGGAATCTACTTGACAGCAACGGATCTGTTTCACTATCTTTATTTCAGTTTTTCTGAGTCCTTTCCACTTCTCTACCTTGTTCTACTTGGTCTCATTTTCAAACTCGTGTAATCAAAGGTAAATATGTTAGAAATCTTCTAACACTAGAAACTGTAGTAGCAAAGCTTAGGAGCAAAAAACTTTTTTTTTTTTAGTTCTGTGTTTCTTTAACCACTCTTGAGTTTTCTTGCACTAAAACTGATGAGCACATATTAAATTACTATTCTGGAATAAAAAACATTTAGATGTATTTCTCCCCCCACTGAGAAAATTGCCAAGATATACATAACGAAAATGCCATGCTCTTATCACTCCTTATTTGGAAAGAACTTATTTAAAAAAAAAAAAAATGTGGATTGAATAGACACACACTCATGACTATATTCTATATACATAATAACTACTTACAAGATCAGAGCAATGTTTTTAGTTGACATGATACACGGATCTCTTGACTGCATAACATTGAGTTCATGGTCAGAAATATCTTAACTGTTCTGCTTTGGTCTTTAAAGCCCATTCTGAAGATTCTACAGTGCCTCTTGTATTTTAAAAAAGTCTGCAGTGCACAAAACACTGACCTCATGAAGAGAAGAATTCTTGGTCAGGAAAAGGGAGGTCATTTGATCTTATTCCCTGCTCTGTGAGGGATGGTCTCAGACAGCAGAAGGAGACAGAGGGAAGGAGAAAGAGAAAGGAATGAGAGAGATAGTACTTCTACCACACAAACTTCCAGCAAAAAGACCCTGCTCTCACAAAGCTGGGAGATTAGGCCCTGGGCAGTTCTGCCCCCTGAAGCTGCCCCCAAGAGGTTTTCTTTTGCCAGGAGAACAAATGGGGAGAGAACTCAGGAATGGGAGATCTATCATATTTGAGAGAACACTCTTTATAAGGAGTCCACAGGCTGCCTGATAAGAGTAATTTATTTAGCAGAAAAGCAAATTCCTGAGGGAAATCTCTGGACAACTATGTCCTGCTAACCCCTTGTGTCCCAAGCGTAGAATCTGCAGGACAATTTCTTTTCAGTCCACCTACATACGTATTTCTCCAAAGGAGAGGCTTGGAGATGGAGAACAGTTCCAATTGTTACTTGAGCAGTTAACCCCTGAACAGTTGTGGACCCAAGCTCTTAACTTTCTAATGTATTTTTCATAGGGTTAAAGTGAGGTAGAAGCTAAGTTCGTGGATCACCCAGTTATTTTTCAGGTTGACCAAACATAAAGTGTAGAACCCAGGTGTGGAAGTAACTACATGCACTAAGCGTAATGCCTAAGGCACTTGACTGCTAACCAGAAGACTGGAAGTTCAAACCCACCAGCCACTCATCGGAAGGAAGATGGGACAATCTAGTTCCATAGTGATACTGCCTCTGAAACCCAAGGAGAGGTCGCTATTTATCGGGTCCGACTCGAAGGCACATAACAACAACAACAACATGCACTGAAGCTAATGATTATCTGCAATGATTATCTGATTCAGAGTTCAAGGTCTCTGTGTATTCTGAATATCTTGGGAGATGGGCTAGCTTATGCATAGGCACAGCAAATGACCAGTTACAAGTTAGTGATTAAAGAAAACTACAAACTTTGTGAGTCCCTTGTGTATCTCTTGCTAGGCTACAGAGGTGCTAGCTACTGAGTAACCAGGACTAAAACTGATAGTGTATTTACTATTGTGGTGAAGCCATTAAGCATGTTTGACAGATGCCCTCTATTAAATCAGGGAACACCCATAAGTGGCTTTCAGATTTTACCCTTTAATACAGCCTTTGACATTTAGCAATGAACTGAGAGGTCTGGTAAATTATAAGAAATAACTAATTAAGCTTGCTTGGCATAAGAAGTTATGTCAAGAGGATATTGCCTTGCAAAGACCTGCTATTTGGGGGAAGGGAGTGAAATAACTATTTAATTCCATTAGAGTTACAGCAGAGTTGAGATCTTAAATATCTGTGTTTTTGTTTTTTGTTTTTCTTATATCACAAAATCTTAGGTCCCTGGGAAAACTTGAAAAGACAAGTGTCTTTCCAGGAGATCATGAAAAACCAGAGAAAATGTGCTACTTTTATCAGGTATCTTCTGCACGAATAGAAACAGTCTCCTCCCAGAAAGCACTTAACCGAGATGGGGGAGAAATTTGCACAGCTCTGGATAAGTTTGTCATAAAATGTATGAGACTCAGTGGGGAAAAGCAAAGAAATGTAAGCTTCCAAGATACAAAGCAAAAGAGAGAGAGATGCCAAGAGTGTCCCATCTAGTCTGGGGTATAAATGAGAGAAACTTGCTGTCCATACACAAGGGTCCAATCTGAAGAGCATTGGTGGCACAGATGAGTGGGGCTACAGAAAATGGTATACTGTTAGCAGAACCACAGATCTGCTTTTTTCCAGCCCAGAACCATGGGACTTAAATCGTTCACCAACCCAGACCACATAACCAGTGGATAAATACAGATGGGATGTAATAATCAGCATCCAATCTGACTGGTCAAGTTTCTATTCCAATTGACCTATTCTAGACATATTCTAGATATTTGGTATCTGCTGCCATCCATTTAGGAGCTCTGGTGGCATAGTGCCTGAGACATTTGACTGTTAACCAGAAAGCTAGCAGTTCAAATCCACCAGCCACTACTCAAAAGGAAGACGGGGAAATCTCCTTCCATAGAGATACCACCTCAGAAACCAGACCCAGGAAGGGTCACTATGCGTTGGAACCAACTTGACAGCAGTGAGTTTGGTTTGTTTGGGGTTTTGCCATCCATTTTTACATTGATCCTCAATATAGCATTGGATAATTCAAAGTATTTGAAACCAGACAGCCAAGATCCAAAGCTCAGCTCTGTCATTTGCTATTTGTGTGACATTGGGCTAAGTGACCACTGTTGCTGTTAGGTGCCATGAAGTCAGCTTTGAATCATAGTGACTCTATGTACAACAGAACAAAACATTGCCCGGTCCTGTGCCATCCTCACAATTTTCGCTGTTTAACCCCATCATTAAAGCCATTTTGTCAATTCATCTCCTTGAGAGACTTCCCCTTTTTCCCTGATCCTCTGCTTTACCAAGCATGATATCCTTCTCCAGGAACCAGTCCCTTCAGAAAACATGACCCAAGTGGATGAAATGAAGTCTGCCAGTCTCACTTTTAAGGAGCATTACAATTGCACTTCTAGAACAAATTTGTTCATTCCTCTGGTAGTCCACAGTATTTTCAATATTCTTTGCCAACACCACAATTCAAAGGCATCAATTCTTCTTTTGTCTTCCTTATTCATTGTCCAGCTTTCACAAGCATATGAGTTAAAAATACCACAGTTTCGATTTGACACACCTTAGTCTTCAAAGTGACATCTTTGCTCTTTACACTTTCAAGAGGTCTTTTGCAGCAGATTTGCCCAGTGCAAGTTGATTATGGATCCAATAAAATGAAATCTTTGACAACTTCAATCTTGTCTCCATTTATCATGATGTTGCTTATTGGTCTAGTTGTGAAGATTTTTGTTTTCTTTGTTTATTTGTTTTCTTTATTTATTTTTGCTTTTAGGGCAGTAATTACTAACTACCCATTATACCCCTTGTTGTCAAGTCAATTCCAACTCATAGCAACCCTATAGGCAGAAAGAACTGCCTATAGGCTTTCCAAGGCTGCAATCTTAAGGAAAGCAGACTGCCACATCTTTGTCCTGCAGAATGACTGGTGGGGTCAAAGAGCCAATCTTTCAGAGAACTACTAATAATTCAGCCTGGCTAAAGTCGGGAAAAGAAGTGGATGAGGCTATTTAGAGATTACAGTGGTCCAATAGGTATATACTAGGTAGATACACTCCTTGGAGAGAAGAATCATGGGAGAATAGAAAGGCTGTGTATGCACAGGGAGACAGCTCAGGGGGCAGGAGTGCATGGAGGGAAGGACACAGGGAAGAGGTAACTATCGGGAGGAAGTGGGAGGGGAGCTGTAGCATTGTGGTGAATTGTAGTCAATGTCATGAGACAAAGTGTATGTGAACTGCTGTATGGAAAGTGAATTTGCTCTGCAAACTTTCACCCAAATCACTTAAAAAAAAAAAAAAAAGGAGCTGTATAGTATGACCTTACTATTATTTGTAAGCAAGGAGCTCCTGTAGCACAGTGACTAAGGCATCTGACTGCTAAGCAGAAGGTTAGCGGTTCAAACCACCAGCCACTCCATGGAAGCAAGACTGGGCAATCTACTTCAGTAAAGATTTACCAACTTGGAAACCCTGTGGGGTCTCTATGAGTTGGGATCAACTTGATGGCAGTGGGCTTGGGGTTTTGGTTTTAAAAAAACAAACAAATGTGGTTCAAATGAATAATCTTTGATGCCACAACCAGTTTTTTTTTTTTTTTTGGCTGTCGTTGTTGGTGTTGTTATTGTTTGTTTATTCACCTTTATTTTAACAAGTCAGATACATTGATCCTATATGAACTGATTTGCCTCTGACTTCTTGCTCCTGTCTCAGACCTTCTGTTTCTTTCAGAATCTGTACACTTTGCTGTCCTGCAGGACTCTCAGCCCTGAAGCCTGCCTTCCCATCTCCTGATCCAGCATGACCATCCACATCCTCTGCTACATACAAAAATTTTGAAAGTTGCATAATATCCCATGACTGGATCCTAAATACTTTGTTTTGAATCATTGCTCATCTTACTTATCTGTAAATTTTTATTATTGTAAATAATGATACAATGAATGTTCCTGCACATAAAATGTAGCCTAAATATCTGATATTTTTCCTTTGGATAAATTTCTAGAAATGGAATATTATGGACATAAAACCAAAAAACCAAATTCACTGCCATAGAGTGGATTCTGACTCATAGCAACCCCCTTTGGGTTTCTGAGGCTGTCAATCTTTACGGCTGTAGATTGTCCAGTCTTCCTTCGGCAGAGTGGCTGGTAGGTTTGAACTGCCAACGTTTTGGTCAGCAGTCAAATGCCTTAGGCACCACACCACCAGAGCTCCTTATCATGGACATAATAGGCAACAAATAATCTATGGATAAACTGACCTCCAGAAATTTCAAACAAACAATATAAAAGAGGAGTTAATCCATGTTAACACAGGAACATGAAACTTTGTATTATAAACTTTTTAAATGTCTTTTCTGATTTGCGAAGCAAGAGTATTAAATTCTTTGCTTTTATGACATCTAAATAAAGTGTTTGCATTCAATAAATAACATTCATTGCAAGTCCCTACAGCATAGCTTTCTTGTTTCCAATTCTGTCCTTCCTGTTTGGACTATGAAATTTTAGAAATAGTAAGATAAATTCCAGTGATGTCATAGACTGTGGTATGTTTCCTCAGTTCAATGTTATTAATATTGATGTATTGATAACTGTGTATTCTTACTATATATGTTTTTTTATTTAGGGATAGTGTGCTGACTTTCAAAAGGTTACATCAAATTACCACTTATTGTTCTGCAAGACTAAAGCAATAGTACAGCAGAGAGAAGAGCCGTACGTTTAAGGTCTATGAACCAGTGTGTGTGGGCATTGGTGGTTCAGTGGTAGAATCCTTGCCTTTCACTGAGGAGACAGGAGTTTCTGTTCACTAGGGGTGATCCGGTAAATACAAATGACATAGCTTCCAGCGTGATGCAACAGGCAAGCCATCACAGTATGACAAACTGATAGATGGAGGATGTTCTATTCTTTTTCTTTCTTTAGTCTTCAACTTTTATCATGATGTTTGGAATACAGGAATCTCTTATGAAATATCTGGTAGATATATGGGCGAATAAGTGAATTATTTTCCTAGCTGCAAGAGAGAGGACACTAAAAAGCATAGATAGGCTAAAGAGATATTCCTGCTGTGAATAATGATAGATGCTGAAGAGATAAGGGCTGGAGAGTGACTCAAAGTCATAACAGGAGATACATTTTAGCAATTATGTATAATTCTTTGACTAAGAATATAACCTTTAGAGTGACTGTTAACAGATATAGAATTTATTCTTGTGTGATGAACATTTTATAAAATTAGACTGTTGTGATGGTTGCACATCTTCATGACTTTATTAAAAAACCAGCAAATTGTATACTTTATATAAGTGAATTTATGTATGTTAATAATATCTCAATAAAGCTGTTTTTTAAAAAATACTAACAAAATTACATTAGAATGTAAGGACATCAGTCTATAAAGCCTATATAGCACATGCCCACTATACGTAATCACATATTAAAAAGTATATTTAAAAAACAAAAGTCTTCAAGGCAGAAAAATGAATTCTTCTGGGAATCTCCACACCTTGGAGGCACAGTGAGTTAGCACCACCACCAGGAATTGCCTCAGTTCTGTGCCGGTCTCCCATAGGCTGAAATTAGTCTCTTTATAAGCTTGGCACTCCTCTGGAATCCAGTGTCTCCTCAGCCTTCTAAATCAGCCTGACAGGGACAGGCAGGACTGCTGTATGGGCTCTGTAAGTAAAACGGCTTTTGTTCAACCTCTACTCTGGATGAGCTGAGTTTTTTTGTTTTGTTTTGTTTTGTTAATCCTTAGGGAAGAATTTCCTCAGAATGTGCAGAACTAGATTAGACAATGGGATTGTGGGCTGAAGAAGATAGTATAATTTGCTCTCCAGGTTATATAATTTTTTCTTTCTAGGAAATCTGTAGGAAAAGGGCATTTTGTTCTGATGGTGGGGGTTGGTTATCATGTGGCTCCTTTCTCAACTGGCTTAATCAGTGTGCTAAGATGTTTCTCATTATCAGTGATTTGGTGCCTGAAAAACCCAAAAACAGCATGAGAACCTCATCTCTAAGCCAAATTTTGAACAATTTACTACATGCCAATCACTCTATTAGGTACAGTGCATATCCTATCTTACAGATGAGGAAACTGGAGTAAAGGAAGTTTAAATAACTTATAGATATCAATGAAACTATCATTTTGAAAGCAAAAATATTAGAATTAAAGAAATTGTTTTGGGGAGTAGATTTCTAGCTCAGACATTCCCTAGTTGTGTGTGATCTTAAATGTATTTCTTAATCTTTCTGATATTCAGTTTCTCTATCTGAAAAGTGAATCTAATAGTATGTGCACATGGAGTTGAAGTAAGTATTAAAAGACAGAATGCTTATAAAGGGTTTGCCACAGTTACATTCACAGAGCAGAGCAAGTGCCCAATAAATAGATACTGTATTGTTATTACTAATATTTAGTGTTATTATCACTGTGCAAGGTCTCAAAACTAGTTAGTGGTTGAGGAAGGATCTGAACCCAGGTGAATCACACACTCTAACCAGGCTATTAAGAATGGCTTGGAGAATATAAAAATAAACTCCAAACTCACTGCCATTGAGTTGATTCTGACTCACAACAACCCCCTTTGGGTTTTCGAGACAGTAAATCTTTACAGAAGGAGATAGCCCAGTCTTCCTTCCGTGAAGTGGCTAGTAGGTTTGAACCGCCAACCTTCTGGTTAGCGGTCAAATGCCTCAGGCACAATGCCACCAGAGCTCCAATAGTTGGTTGATTAATATAGATGATGCTATATGGTCTAATTCAGCAGCTGAAGACACAGCTACATGTTATTGCTCAAAAGAGTACAATGAAAGAATCATGGTCATGTTGTTGTTGTTATGTGCCATCGAGTCGGAATTAGTTGAGAGAGTGGAGTATTTTGCACAAGAGCTAATGAAGATTGGTTTGGATTGGAGAAATGAATGGGACAGATTCGAGGGTGATGGAAGCTTAAAAGAATAGTTTGGGGAAATTGGTGCAGTGCCTAAGGCATTTGACTGCTAACCAGAAGGTGGCAGTTCAAACCCACCAGCCACTCCATGGAAGGAGGACAGGCAATCTACTTTAGAAAAGATGAACTGCACTGGAACCCCAATGGGGGTCACTATGAGTTGGAATCAGTTCAATGGCAGTGGATTTAGTTCTGTGGTTTTTTTGTTTTGTTTTGTTTTTCCTTCCCTAATAAAATCCAATATCTCCCACTTTAGGAGCTCTGGTAGCATAGTGGCTAAGACACTTGACTGCTAACCAGAAAGCTGGTGGTTTAAACCCACCAACCACTCCTCGGAAGTACGAAGGGGCAATCTACTTCCCTAGTGATACTGCCTCGGAAACCCAAGGAGGGGTCGCTGTGAGTCGGGTCGACTGGACGGCACATAACAACAACACCTCCCACTTCATTCTTTGATATGAACAATTAACTTTTTTCAACATAAGAAAGGTGAAAAAAAAAAAAAAAACAGCTCCAAGTCCACTTCCAAACAGACTGCTGTTACTTAACCTTCCAATATACACTTTTAGAGCCTTCAGTTTTTGACATTTCAGAAGTAGAATCAACACTAATGCAATGAATATTTGTACATAGGGGAAGAGAGTATGTGGGGAGATAATTCTGATTAGATTCTAGGCTAGTATTTGATATACATTTGATCAATAAAATGTAAGAGGAAGGGCCAGATTTGGAATTGGGGAGGGAATAAATTCTATTTGGCTCATACTGTAGTTGATGTGGCTGAAGGATTACGGCTGGAGATGACCCACAGGGTAAATAAAGTGTTTTCCTCACCTTTATCTTACTGACTCCAAGCACAGAGTTCTGATTTGTTCTACAAACTGCTGCCAGTTATTTTTCTAAATTGAAAATTTCAGTGTCTCATTCTTCTTCCACAATTCCAGTTTAAGTCCAGAATCTTTACCATAGCTTTAAAGGTTCTGCTAAACTTTTAGGAAAAAAAAAAAACTCAAGAGAGATCATAATTAGATTTGTGAGTCATCTGGATATAAGTGCTATTTAGAACCATGAGAATAACTAAAATATCCCAAGAAGCAAATACGGAAATCAAGAAAAGAAGAAGAGTAAGAGCAGAATCCTATAGGACATCACAATTTAAAAGTCATGAAACAAAAACGTAATTTGATAAACTGGGAGAAAAAAAAAAAAACAGAGCAACAATCTTTGTAGCTAACGAAAGAAAAATTTTCAAGGAGGAGGTAGTCAACATTGCCAAAATATCAGATGAGAGAAAGAAAAAATCTAAAACTTACCTTTGTCCTTGCTTTCAGAAATTTGTTAGGGACATAAGTTGGAAGATTTTCTGAAAGTTATTAGAAAAAGAATCCAGATTGTTACTGACGGTGAGGAAATAGCAAACAAAAGCAGATTATTCATCCAAGGACTTTTGTTGTTGTTGCTGTTGTTACAAGATGTGGCAGGAAATCAAAGAAGAAACAGAGTTTATATCTGATATCCCTTATTATCTAAGAACAGTGGCCAAGTATGACAGATATTCATTATTTTTTGTTTGAATTGAACATGTTAAAAATAAGTGTATTGAAGTATGGGAAGCTTTCATTGTTACATTGAAGTAAATGAGTATTATAGGCTGCAGAAAGGGAGCTAGTTGTATTAAACATACACTAAAGAAGGAAAATAACTTTGTTGGAGTTAAATTAGAAGAGAAGAGAGTAAATTGTTTACTTAGTAATAAAATTTTGGAAATGCTTAAATTTATTTCCATGGAGTTCAAGTTTTCATGACCTAACCCCTGCAGATCTCCCCAGTTTCATCTTTTTTTGTACCCAGCCTCACACTAAAGGCTCCAGCACATTAATTTTCTTGTAGTTGACCAACAAACTGTATTGCATTATTATTTCACATTTTTGCTTCTAATGTTTATGCCAAGAGCATGCTTTCCGTACTTTTTATTCTTGTGAACTCACATTCACCCATCAAAACTTTACACAGTTATAATCCATCTACTTTGTTCAAATTCCTTAAAACTAATTCCTCTCGACACACACATGGACAAATCCATGTCACACCCAGACCTGGAATCTGCCACTCTGCACTGTGTAGTTCTCTGTCTTATCCTTGTACACATTGCAACTCATATTTATTTCTTCATGTCTGACTTCTTTACCAAATACCAAAACCATTACCATTGAGTTGATTCCAACTCATAGCAACTGTATAGGACAGAGTAGAGCTGCCCCATAGGGTTTCCAAGGTTGTAATTTCTACAGAAGCCAGACTACCACATCTTTCTCCAATGGAGCATCTGGTGGGTTCAAACCACCAAACTTTCGGTTAGCAGTTGAACACTTAACCACTGAGCCACCAGGGCTCCTTCTGACTTCTTTACTGATCTGTTATTTCACTTGCTTCATATTCTTAGTGGCTTACACAATGTTTAGTACACCCTGAGCATCCAATATGTTTTGCTGTTGAACTAAACTAAGTGTTCATGGAGTAGGCATCTTCTGCTTCTGAACCCATTAGGAATGAGATACAAGAAGATATGGTCATACACAGATGAGAGAAAAGGAATTTGAGGTCTTTTGCAGCAGATTTGCCCAGCGCAGTACGTCTGATTTCTTGACTGCTGCTTCCATGGGTGTTGATTAAGGACCCAAGAAAAATGAAATCTTTGAAAACTTCAATCTTGTCTCCATTTATTATCATGTTCTCTCTTCTAGGCTCAGAACAGAGCAGGTCAAACCAGACTTTATGTTTTTTTTTATTTTTATTTTTTCTGACCTCACGGCAAGAAAGGGAGGGAAAGAAATCTGTCTAGAAGAATGAGAGTGGGCAATGAATAAATTATTTGAATTAAGGAAACAATGTAAAGGAAGACATGAAGAGGTTAGGATGAAAGAAAGAAAAATGTTCAGATAGTAGTTTATTTTTCTAAACAACTACCTTTCATAAAAAATTGCCTCAGGACCCAATGATGAAAAATTCAAATGTGATTATTGTGTTGTTGTTGTTGCTGTTATGTGCCATCGAGCTGGACCCAACTCATAGTGACCCCTCCTTGGGTTCTGAGGCAGTATCACTACGGAAGTAGATTGGCCCAACTTTCCTTCCAAGAAGTGGCTGGTGGTTTTGAACCACCAGCCTTCTGGTTAGCAGTCAAGTGCTTTAGGCACTACGCTACCAGAGCTCCTCTATTATTGTGTATGAAGTTAAAAATCTTCATGATAGCCAGAATTAATTGACATATATGAAGGTCCTATGTGCTGTTATAACCACTTTTATTATATACCATTTGTTCTGGTTACCTAGTGCCACTCTGACAGGAATATATACCACAAATGGGATGGCCTTAACAAACAGGAGTTTATTCTCTTATACTTCAGGAGGCTAGAAGTCTGAGTTCAAAGTGCCAGGCTCTAGGGGCTGGGTGAAAGCCCCTCCACCTTGGGCTTCAGCTCTGCCTCTTGCTCACAGCCCACTGAAGCTAGAGGCATCTCCTCACTCAGGCAACTACTGGCTGCTGAGGCTAACAAGCCCAAGGTCAACAAATAAAATGGCACAGCCCCAATGTTACCAAACCACACAGCAGGCCATTCATTCAAGTCCATTTTAAGTCCCAAGGTCGGCAGAGCATGACAGGCTGCTGAACAACGACACAGCCACGTGCAGGGTCCAAGCGTGGCATAAACTAGAGACCATTC